CTTTTGTTATATTCTATTCATTTCTAATACTTTATTCTTTTTTATACTTTTATAAATGGAATTGTTTTAATTTTATTTTTAATTTTTCATTGCTAGTGTTTAGAAATACAATTGATTTTAATATGTTGGTCTTGTATCCTGTAACCTTCCTGTACCCATTTATTAGTTCTAATAATTTCTTAGTGGATTCCTTAGGATTTTCTATTTACAAGGTCATGTAATCTGCAAAGAGATAGTTTTACTCTTCCTTTCCAATCTGGATAGTTTTATTTTGTTTTCTTGCCTAAGTGCACTAGCTAAATAGAAGCACAATGTTAACTAGAAGTCGAGAGTATGGCTGTTGTTTGTAAAGATGTCAATTTTTCTCAAAACAATTTCTCTCACATTTCCAAAAAGCATTAGAGCTCATGTGGATGAATACACAGGTGACAGTAGCTATAAAAATCTCTGAAGAAAAAGAAATGAGTAAAGATTTTCTCTTCTGCTGTATAAAGCATTTAAAAGGCAACAATAATTAAAACAGAATAGCACTGACAAAAAGATATAAATCTCAGTGGACTAGAGTACAAAGTTCAGACTCTTTCTATAGTATGTATATAAAAACTTATATGAGAAAATCAGTGGCAAAGGGATAGGGTTTTTCAATAAGTATTGGGAAACTTGGATAGCTGCTGCGGAGAGAAGGTTAGATTTTCACCTCAAATCATTCACCAAAATAGTTTCTAGAAGAATTTAAAGAGAATAAAAGAACAAAGAAAAAGCCAAACAATTTAAAAACTAGAAAAACTATGAATGGATATTTATTGGACCTGTGAGTGTGGAAGAACCTAAGCTTGAAACAATGGAAGAAATTCAACGACTTGACTACTTAACTTATGTCAAAACATATTTGCAATAAATATAAAAGACAAAGTGTTATTATTAACATAGAAAGGGTTAATATAAGTTAATAAGTTAAGGCTTCAAAGAAAATGGGCACAGAAAATAGACAATTCATAAAATAGACAACTCACTAAAAGAGGAAATATAAATGACTAATAACTGAAAAAATGTTCAATCTCATTAGCAATCGAAGAAATGCAAATCAAACAATAAGGAGGTACAACCTTTTGCTTTTTTTTTTTTTTTTTTTTTTTGCGGTACGTGGGCCTCTCACTGCTGTGGCCTCTCCCGTTGCGGAGCACAGGCTCCAGACCCAGCCGCTCCGCGGCATGTGGGATCTTCCCGGACCGGGGCACGAACCCGTGTCCCCTGCATCAGCAGGCGGACTCTCAACCACTGCGTCACCAGGGAAGCCCCAACTTTTTGCTTTGAGCAAAGATTTCTAAGATGATATTACTCATCACTGCTTAGAGTATGTTGAGATAGCTCTCATGCTAACCTTATGAAGTGATTTCCCATTATTAGGCCCATTTTATAAGGTGGAAACTGAGACTCTGGGGTTCAGTAATTTGCCCAAGCTCATACTGCTAGTAAGTCGTGGCACGAGGATTTGAACCCGGGCTATGTGACTCTATTACGGTGAAGGGCCTAGAAAACAGATGTGGGAGGGAGGGCAAAGGACAGGAGGAAACGTAGCTTGAAGAGTCAGGCAAATATATCTGAAGTGCCTGTCTGGAAGGGTTATGATATTGCAGAGGGAAGCAATGAGTGGAAATTACACAAAGGACAACTCTTTCAAAGCAAGAACTGTCTCTAACGGACTAGAGAGGCCCAGGGACACGGTGAACACATCCAGCCCTGGGGAGGAAGAGGAAGTAGGAGGGTCTTCTCTGTAACCCTCACATCAAACTGCAGTGGGTGGGGATGAGTGGTCTCATCTTCCAGAGGAGAAAACACCTCTAGGTAACCAAGACCTCAGTATCTTCAGAGTTTCTGCTCTTTTCTCAACTGCAGACAGCTAGCAGAGCCCGCCCTTTCTCCTAGGGCCAAGTGACCTGCAGGGGAGCCCTTCCTGGCCTCACTGCCCTCTTGCAGCTGCAATCCCAGGCCAGCAGGAAGCCTGACCTTGCCAAACTATGAGGGCCAGGGCAGGAGGAAGGAGAGTGGGAGTAGCCCATCTGAGTTCTCTTTTGCCCTTTCCTGGAGCCTTGCTACTCCATGGGGGAGACAGAGGGAGGCGGGAGGGAAGAGGCAGTCTGGTCATGTTGAAGAGCTAAGAAACAGATGAAACAGAACCATTAAAGGACAGTGACAAATATGTTAGCTGTGGTTTGGTAAAGATATCTTCATTTGCAAAGCCCCTGGGGAATCCATTCTCAGGGGCTTCATCCTGACTCTGTAATCTTGGGTAAGTCTGTTAACCTTTTTTGTACCTCAATTTCTTCATCTGTAAAATGGGTATGATAACATTTCCCGCTTTATTGACTTCAGATGATGTAGTGCTTAGGTGACCAACAAGCTAGTGTGAGGGCAGAGTACCAGGGGCAGTAGAGTCACTCAGACCTGAGTTCAAGTCCACTGTCTGCAATTTCCAGTTAGAAACTTGGGGAAAATCACCCAAACTTTAGCTGCTTTAGCTTCCTCATCCGTGAAGCTAAGAGTAGCAACAGCACCTGCCTTAAATGGTTGTCTTCAGGGGTAAATGAGATAGTACACATAAAGTAGATGATAGGACCAGGATTTCACAGCCCACAGGTTTAACCATTACAGTACAGTTGCCTCACAACCATAATGCATATAAAACAACAACATATAGTGTAGAGAAAAGACTGGAAAGCAATATAACAAATTGTTAACAGTGTTTATTTCTGAACAGTGAGATTCTAATATATTTTAATTTCCTTCTTTATATTTTTCTATATTTTCCAAATAACTTATAATCAGAAAAAAACCTATATATGATGTTCAGATGCTTTGAGATCATTTGTGATGGTTTCCATTGTGTTAAAATCTTTGACAATATTTTCTCATGTCATCTTCTCAGCAACTGTTTAAAGTAGGAATCATTATCTCCATTTTCTAGATCAGGAAAGAAGGCTGAGAGGTTAGACAGCTGACTTAATCTTCAGGTCTTATTGCTGCTAAGTGGCAGAGAGCCAAGATCCATAGGCAGATCTGGCTGTCTCCAAAGCTAGGTGCTGTCCACAGGGATGCTGGGCTATGGGGCTCAGTGTGGAGAACTCCTCCACCCCATTTTGATCACAGTTAAGGTGGAAGGTTGTTAGGATTGAGCCTTGGTGCATATGCTCCCATGAGTCTTGGCTGCCCGGTGTAAAACCATATTCCTGGTAGAGGACATGGCCCGGAAAGTGGGATTTTGGTATCCTCCTTTCACAGCATAAAAAGTCAAGAGGTACTGTGGAGAGTCTCCCCAAGAAGAAATAAAGGTTTCCACTATCAAGGTATCCAATAGAGGAACTTAAAAAAAAAAAAGCATAACTACATAAGATTGAGGGAGGGAAGTGAGTGTGAGCTAAATCATTATCTATCATAGGAGGAAGACAATAGATAATGGCCAGTCCAGAAAACTCTAGATATAGTTATGTAAGCATTTTATGTAGAAATATGGAGGTAACTACCAGGCCTGAAAACACAAATGGCTATAAGTGGTTATCCCTGGAATGAGGGGTGGAAAGGGAATTTTTTGCTTTTCATCATAAGCATTTCTGTCACATTTGATTTTTTTACTTTATTATTTTGTTTTTAGCTGTGTGTTACATGTTTTTTAAAAAATACTATTTTTAATACAGGCTCTGAAAGTTAAAAAGAAAAGTACAGACTTTGGGGTCATCTGTGTGGATTCACATCCCACCTCTGCCAGTTACGGATCTTGGGCAGGTTAACCTCCCTAAGCCGCAACTTTACCTTCCTGAAAATAAGGATAAAAACCATACTTACCCCACAGGGTTGTTTTGGGGATAAAATGAGGTAACGCATGTAAAGCACACGGACCAGCATTGGCCGAAATTCAGCATCTGTAATTATTAACCATTGTTATCATTGTTAATAATAAACCAAGTGTGCAAGTAATACCCAGGGCTTTGCACATAGTAGGCACTTAATGGGTGTAAGTAATTGTTTAAAACCTCCACCAGAGCCTATAATTTCCCCCAACTCGTGACGCATAAGCCCCAGCGGTCCGAGTGAACACTTAAATACTGATGTGGTTACTCATTTGTTCATCACTCTGTTCTCCGCCGCAGTGTCCGCAGAGGGCGAGCCCAGCTCCCTGGACTCCCGCGCCAGGTTCAGGCTGCACACGTGATTCCTCCCGCGCGCGGAGGTGGGAGACAGCGGCAGCTCACCCGCTTTCAGGTCGCTGATGCGGGGCCATCACGTGGTGCAGCGAGAATCACTTCTGGTTTCACGCAGGCATCTTCCCAGGCAGGGGCGGGCTGGAGGAGGGGGAGTGCCGCTCGAGACTGGGGAGCAGCCCTGGTCCGCATCGCTCCCACTTGCCAGCGCCAGGGGGATGGCCATGCCGGGAGGGACGGGGCGGAGCAGTTTTAGGGCGACAGCTTTCCGGAGCAGGGACGTCTTGAAGGACGACTTGGGATTGGCCGGGAGACGCGGAGCGGGCATTTCATACCCGGCCGAGGGTGCCGCGCTGCCCGCAGGCGAGGCGGGGTTTCCTCGGGACCAACGCGGGAGAACCCCCTCCCCCCGCGGAGGCCTTGCGCCCCGCCCACGGTCCTCGCAGCGCTCAGCGACCCTCCAGCTCCAGGCTGGTCTGCAGCAGACGGGGCGAGGGCGTGCGGGCCACCGTCCCCAAGCTCTGCCGCATCTCGGCGCGGGTACGGGTTAGGTCGCGAGTCGCGGGACGCCGGCCGCTAGGCGGGGCGGGAGGCGGGGCGCTGACGTCGCGGCGCGGCCGGGAGGCGGGGAGGCAGCGGCCGGCTCGGCCCAGCCCAGCCCGCAGCTGCGGCGGCCGATCCTGTGGGCGGCGGCGGCGCTCCGAGCCGGCTCCTGACCGCCCTCCGCCGCTGCCCAGTTTCTCACTTGGTCCGGGTGTCCACGCCTGGTTCGGCCAATCCTCACCCGTCGCCGCTTCCCCCGCCATGGCCCTGGTACGGGGCGCCGAGACGGCGGCTGGGACCTCCCGCTGGCTACCCACGCATGTCCAGGTGACTGTGCTGCGGGCCCGCGGGCTGCGGGGCAAGAGCTCGGGCGCGGGCAGCACCAGCGACGCGTATACGGTGATCCAGGTGGGCCGTGAGAAGTACAGCACGTCGGTGGTAGAGAAGACGCTGGGATGCCCCGAGTGGCGCGAAGAGTGCTCCTTCGAGCTGCCGCCCGGCGCCCTGGACGGCCTGCTGCGGGCGCAGGAGACCGACGCGGGCCCGGCGCCCTGGGCCGCGGGCTCCGCCGCCGCCTGCCAGCTAGTGCTTACCACCATGCACCGCTCGCTCATCGGCGTCGACAAGTTCCTGGGCCAGGCCATGGTGGCGCTGGATGAGGTCTTCGGCGCAGGCCGCGCCCAGCACACACAGTGAGTGAGGGGCGCGCGGGAGCGGAAACGGTTAAGGGCCTCTTGGGGCGTGGCTGGGGAGACGTAGGACCCCGAACCTCGGCCTGGGCGGTGCGACCTTTTGCCTAGCGCTCAAGGGCATAAACCGACAAGTTGGTTCTTCGCATAACGGAGTCTCCTTCCGATCCCCAAATGTGCCCAAATGTGCGCTGGGCTGTGCTTGGCCGCTGGTGTGTCCTTGGAAGGCCGGGGGGAGGTGAGAATGGTGGCCTACTGTTAGGAGTAGATTGTCAAGTAAAGTTAGGAGTGGGATCCAGAGGCTCTTGGACTGTGGGAACCTCAAGAAGGAAAATCTTGGGGCCATTCCCAGGGCCTCCGGGCCTGTTTAACTTTCCTGAAGGGGAGGGGAACTGCCTTCGGGCGCCTGTTCCACACCAGGCCCGCAGGGGAATGGGGAGGCCCTGCCTCGCCCTGTGGGGGAAAGAAGGTGCAGGGTTGTCCTCAAGGAGGGCAGAGGATGAACGGAGGAGCCCCACGAAATCTAGAGGCTGCAGAGGGCATCTGCTTCTTGCCTGGTACTGGGATGCCCTCTGTTGCTTAGAGACGCCCCTGATTCTTCCCTTCTGTGTCTCTGGTCTGAGAACAGGAGACCCTTTCAGTAAAGGAAGGAAATGCTTTAATCAGGCTTCAAGCATCTTGACTGAGGTGGAGGCAGCACGTGCTTAATGGACAGCAGGAGACAATCTCCCAGTCACTTAAACCGAGAAGGGCCAGAGGGTTTACCGGTGGGTTTTTAAAAATCATTTATTTTGGCAGCGTTTAACTTTCCCTATGTTAAGATCAAGGCTTCAGGCTTGGAGCCTCATTTCCTGTTTTGGGCTTGGGCAGGATCCGGAAGCCTGTCTGCAGGGCTGACAACCTGCGGTGGGTCACTCAAGTGGTTAACTGGGGTGACGCCACCCCTAGGCCCATGGGCCCTGGATGGGGAGGGTAAGGGGTTGGTGACAGTTGCTGGAAAGGTTTACCCAAGTGGAATGGCATCCAACTGAGTAAATCTAGGAAGGCTTGCTGGAGAAGGATGAGCCTGGTACAAACCCAAATGAAAGCAGGATTTGGATAGAAAAGGATCTGACCTTGAACATTTCAAAAATGTGGGTAGAGAAGGCCTTCATGGCTCTTTGCAGCCTGGGGTGGGAAACGGGTTAGCATAGGGCAGGTTTGGGCAGGGCTGTGACTTAGCTCCATCTCCCCCTCCCCTGGCCTTCTCTCCTTTCCTCATGACTTGCTGTTTGGTTGCTGGGTGTGGATCATGTGGTATAGTTTGGCCCTTGTTTTGTTTTTTTCCTCCCCTTTTCTGTCCTTTCCCTCTTGCCTGGCTCAGGGAGCCCAAGTGGGTGGGGGTGAGGCAGAAAGCTCTCCTCTGGCTCTCGTAGCCCTTTCTTTTTCTGAAGAGGCTTCTGTCCTCAAATTCATTCCACCCCTTTCTTTCCCAGTCCTTCAGTCTCCACCTCTCAGCTAATCTGACCCGACTGGTAGATAACACATCTCATCTCGGGCTGGGGGTGGGGGGCACTAGAGGGGAGACTAAGGGGCAGACAGAAAAAGTCTCAGCTTGTGGGGAGTGGCTTCTGTGAGGTCAGTGACTTGCACGGGGTGGGGGAGGGGCTTTGATTTTTTTTTTTTCAGTTCCTGCTCTTGCTTTCTTCTTGGCCTCTGGATCTTCCTTAACTGAGCTGTCTATGTCTGTCGGCCCATGTGCGCCTGTTTGCAGCCAAGGACAGTCCCCTTGATCTTAATGGGAGCCTTATTTACTTTATAGAAGTCATCTTTTCCACCAGGATCTTTCCACACCCACCTGGCTGCCTTTCCTCTGATGCATTGACCTGGGTTATTTATAGAACCTGGAGGGGGCAGGAGGAGGGGGACTTGTAGTGGGCAGCAGAAAAGTCTGTGAAATCAGCCTGATCTTTTAGTTTACTGGACCAAATAGCGTGCCCACTGACAGAGGGTGGGGGCTGCTGACCCCACTCCGGTTTGCACCTTCCACCTCTGGCTCTCATGGCCACCCTTGGTGGCCTTTCCTGGAGCACCTTGGCGTGAGCTGCTAAGATAGTGAGTCTGCACATTTTCCAGTGGGGAGAGGACTGGGGTGTGCCCTCCTCAGCTTTGGATAATGGTGGCAGAGAACTCCAGGAGAGCACATGATAGCCCTGTGTTGCCCAGACAGAACTCCATTGGGGAAAGGCAGTCACACGGTTAAGAGGAGGGGCCTGTGGAGTTGCTGATTCCCTTCCAAACCTGCCACCTTGTGGCCAGTCAAGTAAACTCTTGGTGCCTCAGTTTTCTCATCTGTAAAATGGGGCTAATTTATACCTTGACAGGATTGATGTAATGGATGAAATGAGTATGTAATTAGAGCATCTAGTGCAGTTCCTGGATATGCCTGGTGGTCAGTGAACAGCAGTAATGGTGGAGTGAGGTTTTAGTAGCCTGGTAGCTGTGATCTGGGAGATGTCCCCTGTCTCAGAGGAGCCTCTCATGTGATGGGAGGAGGTAATACAGAACTTAGCGTAGTCCTGGAAAGCCCCAGGACTATGGTGGCAGGGTACTCAAAGAAGTATGAGAGCTCCTCATGAAATGAGCTGGCCTTTCACAGCCCTCCACTACTCTCTTTGCTGCCAGAAGCTTGAGAATTGGGGCTAGTGTGACGAAAGAAACGGAAGAACAGCTTCAGGGCTAACAGTACATTTTGACTTCTGTAAGAAACTTGCTTTGCTTACTTGCTTGGGGCAGGAAGAACCGGGTTCAATAGTCTTGTGAGGCCTCTGCAGTTCTGAAGCCACTCTCAGATCGGCTTGCAGCTCTGCAGCTGTCCTCCGTGACAGGGCAGCATAGTGTTTAAGAACGTGGAGACTGAGGTTTCACTCCCAGTTCTATCACTTACTAGCAGGCAAGTTACTTAACCTGTTTCCTCATTTCTGAAAAGGTAACACATGATAACAATCATAGAGTTGTACAAATTAAATAAGACAGGATCTCTAAAAACCTTAAAATCATTTTAGACACATAGCAGGCTTTCAAGATATTAGTGTTGGGTTACTCTCAGGGCCCTCCTTATGTGAGGGTGGTGATGATGGGGGCTGGGGTTCTAGGTGCCTCAACAGCCCCCAAAGCTCCTTTGTTAGTGGGGTGCTCTTTGAGGTGAGGGATTTCACTGGAGGCTTCCAACTGATTGAAGAGAAAATTGTCAAAACAACATGTAATGTAATACACAAAGAAACTAATTATAACTGTCTCCCCTCAGTAAAGCCCTACATGGATCATCATGGGTCTCAAAATCCCAAGAGCTGCTTCTTTATTTATTTGGCCATGCTGTGCTGCTTGCAGGATCTTAGTTCCCCAACCAGGGATCAAACCCGGGCCCCTGCAGTGAAAGCGCCGAGTCCTAACCACTGGACCGCCTGGGAATTCCCTCTTTAGCTTCTTTAGATGCGTCCTTTCTGATTTTTACTTCAGCACCATCCATAGTACTCCCCAGTGCGTGCTCGTGTGGAGTAAAATGGTCCCTTCTGTAAATAGCCCCCTTCCTGGGCCTGTTGGATGGATGGTTGAGTCTGGCTCCTTGGGAAGGCCAAGTCTGTGGGCTCGGTTTGGGTTAAAACGTGACCATGGGCAGGCTGCAAGTGTGGCCCCCTAAGAGGCTCTGTCAGCCCTGGTCAGACCTGTCTCATTGATTTTATAAGGGCCTATGGGAGGCCTGTGGCTGAGGAGGACTTAGGTTGGAGACCAGAGCTTTCTGCCTGGCTGGTGGTGGTGGCCTGAGACCTCCTCGAGGAGGGCGGGCTTGGGGGCAATGGGAGAGGCAGCTGAGGCAAATGCAGCCTGCTGGCCTAAGGTAGACCTAAGGTGGACATGGTCTTTGAGGGCTTCCATCTGTCCCTTAGCCTCCAGATGGCCTGTGCATTACTGTTGTAGGTAGATGGTGCATGACCCACAGCCTTATCATGTTTGCAGATGTGACTGCTCCCCAGGAAGCAGCTGAGGCCGCGAGGGTCCTTGGCTTTGGCTCCTGCTCCAACCCCCGATCTGGCTGCTGGGCAAGTCTGCTTTGGCCACAGGAAGGGTGTGGCTGTACTTAAAAGCAGCAGTTAGGGCAGAGGCTGCATCTCCCTGAGTTATGGGGCAGTTTTTATCTGGGGTTGCTTGAGCAGCAGCGTCTGGGGAGTGGGGAGTGACTCTGCTGTCAGACTGAGCGGCTTCCCCTTCCCTCTGCATCTGGCCCCGTTCTCCCCTCCCTGCAGGCAGCCAGGGACAGGCGCAACTCAGCAGAGCTCCATCCTAGCGACCTTGAGGGCTGTCCCTTTCTTCTGATGGGGGCTGTCTACTCTCTTTTTATTGTTGCCACCCTGGTGCTGTGATGCGCTCTCCAGCGATGCTAAACGGCTGGTCTGGCCTCATCCAGATGTTTCCCCTGCCTTTCCCACCCTGTGCTGGGACAGATAATTAACACAATGACAGGAGCTCTGTGTGCTCTCTGGGAATCAGTACCCTATTTTTTCCTGTGCAGGGCCGATCTCTGCAAAATAGTGTGGTCATGAAGAAGCTTTGCCCTTCCCCACAGACAAGTAATAAAAATAAGTCCGCGATGTGGGTCCTTTATGCACCTGGTAGTCCTGTTAAGGAAGAGTCTGATGGCTTTGCCCTTACTGAGTTGGCCTGTGGGGGTGGTCCTGGGCCCAAGGTCTCTCTGCAGTGAGCAGAATAAGCAAGTTCAGCTCCCAGGAAGCAGCGCTACAGAGTTGCCGGGAGGGGCTTTGTCACGGGCCACCTTGACCTTCAGCTGGCCCTGGGGCTGGCGAGGGGAAGCACAGCCCTTAATCATGGAATTCTGATGTCAGAACTAGAAGAGTGCTTAGAAGTGTGGAAATTGAGGCTGGGGAAGGAGAGGGACAGGCTCTCAGCTACTCAGCATTTAGGGAGGGGTGGGGCTCTGTGTGGTTTCTCTTAGGCCCTGACAGCCT